AAGAATATCAGTGTTGTCATCCATACATTCATTTTGGAGCCACTCAAATATCATTTTACTATTTTAACGACTATTGATCACGGAGTCGTCACCCGTCGTTCTGGGTTTCCAAATTTTAGTCAAACTGATATTGGTTGTGATACCTTTACTGTTTCCATCTGTCAGTCCGATAGGGAATCTGTTCTTCCATTCCTACATATCCTGCTGACTGCAGCGGATTTCTACCGTGCACAGTTAAATTCCATAACAGACGCTTTGCGCTTATAACTCTATTCCAATAGAGAGAATGGGGAACATGAAAAAAGTTCCATCAGCTGTACTATGTCCGGTTACATGCGTGCTCTAATTTTAAATATTGATTAAAATGTAATCCCAACTGAGTAATATCGCTCTTTTTCAACCGAAGCAGATAAGTACTCGCCCTCGCCCAGTATCATTCCTAAAGTATCCGCTTACGTGGAACAGCTTTTACCTAACAACCCAATGACTTTCATTTGACTCCTCCCTTTCCGATTTCGTAGAATTTTTCCGTTACATCCTAAAATACTTATTGATCGCCGGTGCTTCCCGCTGGATGCCGTTGATTGCCCAATGAAAAGGCTACAAATCCTGACATGATTCATTTATAAAAACGGAAATAAAATGTAGACGATAATGCGACCACTGTCACCTTTAGGAGAAAAAAAGAGATCGAGTGCTAGGACACAAGTTTTATTTCTGGCTAGTACCTCGACAGTGAAATTCAAAACGTTTTTGGATGGAATTAAATAATTTTCTAGGACTCTTTGTCAACCATTGCACGTAGTGACCACTGAAGAACTGTTTGAATGCAGTTCCGATGAACTTGACACAATGTGTTTGAAAACACAATCATCTTGCCAAAGAAAAGCGTGCTAAAAATGCTCAAGAATTCTTTCGATTTGGTTTATTGTCCCAATGGACTATGCTTGACTAGATAATATATCTGATCCATTCTGTAAAAGATGTGTGAATCCTTTATTATCCAAACTTTAACATTTATCCATTTTTGCGCTACACCATATCCCAACTCGTTGCGCTCTATACGAGACCTAAAATTTATATGCTGTTCCTCTTTTTCTATTTCTGTTTAACTGCATTACCGCCCTTTATAATTGTTGATTTTATATTCTGACCTTGACGCGCTAGTTAAATCGACGTCGTATCAATCTAGTCGTGAGTACCTATTTTATATATATATTTGATACTGTAATTATTTATAGAACCACGTTCAATATTATTACTGCTGCCCAAAGCCTTTTTTCTGCTCAGACCGTGCGTTTAGTCTAGATTCACAGGATCGCTGTTTACTGCTGGCTGCCGTCGTTAGACTTAGCTCATTTGTCCTACCTTACGCGTTGTTTTCCTGCAGTTGTTCGCACAGTCCTTAAGCGCAATCCAAATTTCGTCGTACGTTATATCTGTTATCGTTACCGTAACACATTGCATGTTTCAACCATAAAATTGATTTGCCTAATCCCTTCCAGACACAAACTTCGAATTTACTTTTTACTTCCTATTTCATTCCTCAATTGCATTTACCACGGAGTACACGTTCCTTTATTCGTCCACCTATTTTAGTGGCATGACTAACGGATTACCTTTGGAGAGGTATCCACGTTTCTAGATCAGCAAATCAGTCTTGGAAGTTACCGCTACATAATTCAGATGTACTTCAGAGTACGTTACAATAATCGTGAACAAGATGCAAATTGTTCCATGAAGATCTGTTTAATCAACGAATTTCGTGGATGACATTTTCGTTGCCACTAACTCTCACTCTTTTTATGGTCTGCACACGGGCATACTTGCCTGTGTGTATCCATGCAGGCTGGTGATCTCTGATGTCCAACGGCCCGGTAAACTCCTAGCCTTAGCAAAGAACTTTAGCACTTTAAAACCTTCTCCACATGCCAATGTCTATGCACACCCTTAGATTGACGTTTATTTCCGCTTAGGGCGCTCTAACATATAAGTGGTTCAACGAACTTCGAGTTACGCTCAAGTGCTCTTTCCGCTCTTGGAGGCAGGCAAACTGAATCTCCCGTACGCTAACACATAACACTTTGTTCAGGGCAATCCATAGCATTTGATTGGTTTTTAGTCTGATCGACTCTATTTGCTTGTTTTCGTGAGTACTGTGATCATGGTTTTTCGAGAAATTCTGCTTTTTTGACTCCACCGATAAAAGTCTTCAGGCTTTCCAAGGGTTTCAGCTTCGTGCATCCGCGTTACTCTTACCGATAACCTGTTGAGTATGACCATTCGCGACATTTATCGACAAAAATAAATGTACAATCGGAAGAGAATTCAAATGAGAACACATAACTGAATTTTCACGCCGAATGCGGTTATGAATTAAATATGGATCTATTGTGTGATCTAGTTACCGCATTTCTGCTGGATATCACTTTATAAAACGCATTGCTTGTTAATTTTACGACATCAGTCAGTCCGACTATCAAGGGATACTGACTTCATTCATCTGAAGTTTCAGGGCCACCAGTTCAAGGATCATTTCTATTCGGGTGACCGCATGAGTGTTATCATCATGAGGTCACACTAAGATATTATTACACAAATACTCGACTGTTAACTTTTTAGACATATAGTGTCATATTTTGAATGTACTAAGTGACCATTTTCGATGCCTTGTCTCAATAAGGGGCTGTTGACCTAACCTCGAATGAACGGCTGCTGGGATTTTCAGAGGCCATAACAATCAAGCTCCTAAAGCCGCTGCTTTGACAGCAGAAGGAGACATCAGTCTGGAATTGCACTGGTAACCACGTAAGCGGAAGAGTGAACTGATACCATGTTAGATTATCAACACCTGTGATATATAAACTGTTTTGTATTCTGCAATAATCACCAGCAGAGAAGCAGCGAAAGGATTCCGGAATTAAATCGTGCTCGTTGGCCGTGTCGTGTTCGTTGTTCAAGTTTATTTCGGGAAATAATTGCTTTAACTTATTTATCTATGAAGAACAGTAAGACGTAAATCATATTTCTTTCTGACACGCGAACTATTTGCACGCAACACGCTAACCATGTGAACCAGTTACATAAGTGAAGTGCTTTGCATGATAGAATTAAGTAAAGGTTTTCAATGGAATACGAAATCTAGCTTTTTGTTTAGATGGTCCATTTTTTCTTGAAAACTTTTTAATAAGCTAATAATAGCAAAATAAAGAATAGATAGTCTCATACAAGTCAACCTTTTGCTTGAATGGTGGCCTTTTACGCCAGAGTATTTTCGTTGTGTGGCTGCAAAAGCAAACGAAAGGGTACGCAATTATGGAGGCAGTCAAAAACACTACCGGTAGAGGCGTGTGGCCTTCTGTGATACACGTGCTCCTGTTAATTCGTGGAGGCTGTCCATCTTTGTGCATTCTACTGAGGATACTGCAGACGATGGAGAATTCATTCATTTCCCTCCATGGTCTCAATGTCTTCGAGTAAGATGCCTTAACTGGACTCAGATCCAATGACTTTTTCATTTATCCTTCAAACTGGTCAACTATAGTCCAGAATACTGTGTTATGGCGGCCATTTTGTCTTAGTGTAGCAGTATGGGCAGAAACGAGGGAAACATGAAATGACTAGAAGCTAAATGTCGATTTATTCAGATTAGTGCCTTTCAAATTAATTCATACATTGTTAGTAAATAGTAAAGGTGCCTAGAAACGCCAGATTTAACGGTCATTGGACGTTTCTTCTAGATAAACGCGGAAAGAAGAAAGCAGTCCACATTGGAAACAGTCTAAATTACCTATTGTTTGTGATTCTTGTCGCACTGAAACAATTCGCTGATAGGGGCACGCAGTTTCGCACATCTGGAAAGATCTAACTGACACAGGTGTTTGGGATATTCTTACTAACAGCTCATAGCGTCATGTGCACAGAATTTCGCTGGTGTACCATTCGCTTACCCCTCCCTCCCTCCCACCCCACCCCCACCATCACCCCGCACTTGATTATGATTCTTAAACTCATATTGAGTGAACCACTCCGAAGGAATTTGCCATATCGTTTTTTCTTGCCAAATTGACCATTCAAAAATTGAGCTACGCATTGAGACACTACAGTACCTACATTCATATAGGACATCACCGTAGCAATTTGAGAGTAAAAGGATTTGGAGCTGAAAGCAGAGCATCAATTGTTTATATTAGTTGTTCTTCATACCAATGCTTTTCCCGATGTGGACCATCTTGACTGACTATTGTGTCACTCCCACAGACTCTCTTAAACCAAACCTACGGTATCCAACCATCAGCTCAAACTATCTTGTTATTCATCAGTGTTTATTTGAAATAAACTCAATAAAGATATGAAAAAACGATTCATCATATCAAATTGTGATGAAATCTGAAATCGGTTTCGGTGATTTTCTAGGCTGAAGAAAAGAACGTTGACGGCCAGAGGTTAATGATAACTTGTAATTCAAAATACTGCACATGTGAATAAAATGGGTGCCTTTTAATTACAAAGGGTTAAATTCCAGTTTATTCGACATAAGTTAAGGTCATCGGACTACGGGACATGGAAAGCTACATGCACAAATCAAAAGGAAACGTAAATTGCACCGACGTTACATCTTAAAACTCACCAAATTCAAAACAGCCAATGAGTAGAAAAAATTATCAACATGAGTGGAATGCTCATTTGATATCGGACAGCTGAAATAGGGCGACATAGAGAAGACATTAATATATCACTAACGGTGCTCATAGACATGTTTAAACATGTCTACTGAATTTCAGCATTGCTCAAACATAATATGAGATTTCCGAACGGGGTCATTGATTTTCCAAGTGCATTATGCTTCACAAGAAAACACCACCAATATTCGCGGTACTATTTTTAAATGAATAACGTTTACTGTGGATTGCATAGCTTGATGTTTGAGGTGATTTGCCTTGACTTCAGTAACAAGAAAGCAGATAGCAAAGAATGACTCCAGATTAGCTTCATTCCAATCAGCGGAGCAGACAACCCATTGATGGGAAATCAATATTACCTGAATCTCCAATGACTTTGGCTTTAACATCTCTACCGTACGTCAGCCCAGATTGTTGACCAGCCTTTTTGAAAGTTTCGAGGACTTCCTCCGCCGACAGATTCTCATTAGCCAAAGTCAAATTCGTTGTTGCTTCCACGGTGATTACTTCATCCTTTAGGCTATCGACACTTCTTGCAAAACGGATTCGCAGAGCCGCAATGGTTCCCTTCTTTACGTTAGCCAAAACGCATCCATCCACATTGTATTTGGAGTTCAATGCGGTGGTAAGCTGAATAGAATATTTATACACAGACCGTAAATTAGGGAGCAAAAACCCGTTTAGGCACATCGTAAGCGGGTAGTTGGGCATTAACTCACCCTCGTACACAGTTCTGTTTGCAGCTCATTGTATTCAGCACTTGTACTCGATTCATACTCGGCCTTCCATGGAATGGTTTTGCCGTCTTTAACAACAGTTCCCGTGAATTCCAGTTCTGAAAAAAACATGAAGGATAATTATTCCAAAACTGAGAAGAGATGAATAGTTAAGTTAAATGAAGGGGGAAAGCCATATTCAAAGATTTTAAACAGTTAAACCAATGAAAGCGAGACCAGATGGACAATCTAAATGAAATTAAACATCACCATTATTTTGTTGTTCACGAATGAATATATCATAAAGAAAAATTACTGCATAACTGTATTGTGTTGAGGATTGGGAACAGAATCACTTTATCATTCGGTTGAGGGGGAGGCAATTGAGGAGGCAGATATATAGATTGCATCATCCAGTTGACCCAAAATAAATGTTAGGGGATCAGCAAAATATGGTATTTCTAATAGAACAGCATGCAGGTACTGATGCCCGGAAAGGATAGGTATGAGGTATCAAAGGGTATATATTCAAGGATGAATGGGTGTGTAATAGCGATTAACAGAGAACTATCGGGTTGTCACAGTGTTATGTGAATAATGTTGTGAAACTTGGGTGGTGGGAGCAAATTGAATCATAGTAACTTACTGGTACGTTTGATGGCTGTATAAAAAGAGTGGCAGTACAGCAGTCGAACTTAATGTCACCGCTTCACCTAAACTAATATAAGAAAATAAGTCAAGGATGTTCAACTAAGAAATCAATCGTAAAAGTCATAAATTGTATATTATACAGCAGAAACCAATTAACTTCGTCAACTT